GACAGGTAAGGGGGGGTACCCCTTCGTCCCACATCCTGGTATACCAGCAAACGCCGTAACACCCAGACTACACACCCAGGTGCCAAGCCTCACATCACTACAGGCTTGGGCTAGTCAGTCACCCCTCAGTGAACCTACACGTTCTGGCATGGGACCCATATATTACACGGTGTGTTCTGCATTGCTCAGCACGTGCTGACAGCTCCGTTACTCGCTTTTCCTTTTTCTACCAACCAGGGCGCAGCTGCAACTCTTTCCCTATAGCACCAAGTTCACTGTTTGAACCTCTCTGCGAGTGCCGGCGCTAGGATGCATGATGTTTAATGTTCAAAATGCACGACGGACTGTCGTTAATGTGAGCACTTCAAATTGACATGATACAATCGTTGAAAACATTCAACCGTGGCCTTCCACTTTCCTTTTATGATCTGCACAAGATAACTCAGGAAACCGACGTACCAAGAAGAGCGCCAAATAACTTACAGGAGGGCGATGCTCAGAATAAAACGATTCGCAACGAAATCACCCCTTTAACTTGGATCTTTAAGAGAAGATCCTCTGTGGTCACCCAGACGGATCAATGGTTATATTAAGTTAAGTTATGGTTATTTCTCTAAACGAATACGACAAACAGGTGGTTTGGATAGACAGTTTATAAAAAGGATCCAACAAACTAAGTCTCGAATATGCGTACATACTTAAGTGGTCATATCACTTTCACGCGGGCCTCTCCTTAATGGGATAAAATGATACCACATTAAGACGCCGGAAATTCTGGCGATCGTAGTTTCTCGGGCTTCGTGAGATACTAGCTCCTACGCGTGCGAATGATTACTGGGGCCGATTTGAACTACAGACCAACCAACGAGGGTGTTTTCATCGTACGAGGCACAAGACTTCGGATACCTATGATTGTAATTCGTTTGCACAAGTTCAGTTCAGTATGTCACAGGTCCATTGTCTGACAAGAGTGTTCTTAACAGTATCGACGCTAAGCAAAACCAGTAAGTACGATCTGGTGCAACATGACAGAGGGCTCATCTCTCGTCATTGTTTTTATATTGCACCGCGTGGGAAAAACTGGACTCTGCCCATGACAGTCGTGGGATACGATGCCGATTTCCTGACTTTGGAGGCTTTATTTGTGCTGGTACGTCAGACATCGTCACGACGGCGACGCAAACACAATGATAACAAACACCACATCAGACATCGCCCAAAAGATGTCGCTTCACCAAAGTAGGTTCGACTAAACCCTTCAGGGCATAAAATAACAACAAAATACAAAAACTGAAACTACCGTCCCCATCATCTCTCCACTCCAAGTCAGATAGGTTGAATTATGGATGGGAGTGATTTACTCCGGCAACCATTTAGCCTCGCGGGCAAAGCGATAAATCATATTAATGCTCTCATTTCCATCTTGATAGCAGAGTCGAGCTATCATCATTTTTGTTTCCAACCGCGAGCGAGTGGGCATTTCCTGAAAGACTACCGCCTGAGAAGCGGGGCTCTTCTGCCATGGAGCTTTGGACTGCACCGGCCCGCCTGCCCTTGCCAGGTTTCCCGATCATCACTCCTCCAGTTTTGCTCGTCGGTGCGTACTCCCACCTGCATGCAGGAAGAGCGCGCGTGCGGCAGCACGATCACGATCGACGAGCTGCCGTTCAATTATTGATATGGCCTTTCTGGATTAAAACACCCACTTCTAGAACATGGCTGGTGCAAGCTCCAAGCAACCAAACTATACGTCGATTCTTTCACGAGAATACACATATCCATCAGCCATAATAATAATTACATGCCGGAGAGACCGTTATAGGCACATCCTGTGGATACAGCAAAACGATACAGAAAGGGCCTTCCAACTTCAAACAGAAAATGACCCGGAAGTACGGGCGTTTGAAAAGGGTCGACAGATTTCGCGCATTGTGACTGGCCAACGCGAACTCTTGGAGGCGCACTATTGTGAATCGCCCGTATTGAAACTATAATTTGTTATGGCCTTAATTCAGTCAAACATTACCAATGAATGTGTTCGAGAAAACACCTTGCTTCAAATTACAGAGAGCATGCCTTCATTATGACGACAATGTGTCTTTAAGCTTACAAATCTGGTCTCATTGTTTTGATAAGATTTCCAAAATGGCGTTGGACTGCCAAAGCTTTGGTGTTATCTGAATAGCACGGGTAGGCCTACTTGAACTGCACTGGTGGTTCAATACAGTTACCAGAAAAATATTTTAAAACTGAAATAAAATGTCTATTATAGAGATCTTTATGATTAAATGCCGATGGTACAAAGTAACAGTGCATGTACATTAATATTGAACATTCCAATAAAGTTGGTGTCTACGAGTAATAAACGCAAGCTTACAAAGAAGACATTGACTAACGAAGGTAGTAACGAGGACACCACTGGAATCGCGTCAACTTGCTCAATAATGTAAACAACAGCGATAGGTTTTGGTAGTGCAGAGGTCAAAATCCTATCCGCAAAATGACATATCGGTTGGAGCAAGGATTCCCCCCTAAAGGTTATGCCATTCAGTACTCGGGAATTTCTCGACCACTTTCAGCAACAACCAAGGTTAAGGCATGAACGCATGAAAAAGTGTACAAGCTTGGATACAATGTAACACACATTAAAATGTGCAGGTGGAAATTAAGGCCACGCGGACAGCTTTCAAAAAAAAAAAAAGAACTGGATTGCAACGTACACACGCAAACGCCTTCCACCTATTTATACGGCTCCAAGCCAAGGCCGATTTCTGAAATTGGATTTATGTACAAAGGGGCAGCCAATAACAAGAAACTCAAGTCTCTCTGGTATAAAAAGACCTCGTTTCAATTATAGCTCGCTGCTCAGGCAAAAATACAATTTTTTCCTCCACAAAATTTCCCGTGATTGAGAGATGGGACGTGAGAGTTACATCAGCTTTGCGATCTGCAGGTCTAAGTCCCCAGTCGCATCTCTCCCGTCAATACCACCCGTGGTCGGTTATCGCAGACTGCCGTTACAGCAAAGATTCTTTTCCTATAACCTCGGAACGGTTTTCCCTCCCTCGCAAATAATTCTACAGGAAAGTCACGCACAGGTACACAGTGCGTGCCATTCTGAAAAAATGGGAGATTTTCAGCCATTGCTTTCTTACACAACATTTTCTCAGACAACGCAACTTTCGTTTTAAACGTACGCAATCTGGTCTTAACGCACGCAACCAGGTCTTTACTAACTTTGGGCAAATAAAAGCCATATTCACGAATACTGCTGGTGTTGGCAAGATTACAAAAGAAGAACCCGTCCATTTCCACAGTGGGATCCACAGTGGGATTTGCATGACATTCTACGGGTTTCACGTCTTATAGCAGGCAAACTTCTGCTGTCTTTTTAATTTGCACGTTTGTTTTATAAGCAATTTTACCTTAAATAAGGTTGTGTCAACATCCACATTTAAAGATATCAAAATGTATTTTGGGATTAAAAACAACAGTACTTAATAACAATAAGACACTTTTTCAGTTTTTCATATACTTTATTCCGTGCTGGGATACGCATATCTTTGTTGTTACATTACGCTGATTCAGGGGGAACAAGTATAACATCCCACATTCATTACAGATGGAAATGGATACTGAGTCAATTCCCTCCCATTCAGCTTCATATAAAAATGAAATGATAAAAAAAGGAGAAATGTGCTGCGCAAACCTATTTAAAATGACAGCTTCTTTTTCATTTTTCACGATGTTAGAAATTCTCATTTGCACAAAATAGACAACAAGCCCTACTTCATTTACGCACACCAAACACTCATTCATTCATTAGGCATCACCTGGTGCGACACCATGAACCACAAAAAACGTCTAGTCCATTTATACACTTAATCAAACAGGGAACTACATGTTACATGTACATCATTGCCAAGAGGCCCAATTGGAACATTGGCTATGGCACTTGGTTTGTGCTGAAGACAAGTGGGGCAAAATGATTACTTCCGGGCATCGGCAGGGCAGTTGCCGACTCCTTTTTCCCAGCTCCTGATGAAATCAACTATCTGGTGGTACGCATGTGCTCAGAAATCAAACTTTAGCATCAAGGCTACGCGCACGTGCATGCACACTGGATGAGTAGGGAGAAGGGAGTGTGGATACAACATGACACGGGAAAAAGGTGCTTGACTAGAGTCCGAGTCCTTTTACCAAATACTTGACGTTTTCATAATTATCATCGCATCTTCCCTCACCACAGTCATTCGGATTCCTTCTCAAAATGACCAAATACCTCAGCCATATACTATCTTACAACTGCCTTCACAAAATACCACCCTTTGTTCCAGTATATTTGGTGTCCCGAAAGAGGGCTCGACAGTAATTCTACCATAACGGAAGGACATAATCTGCACTATACATGGTCTTGGTATAATATGCAAATATGCAACGATATACATCAAAGTGAAACTGCGATACGTTTGTGTGAAAATACTCCGGTGGTGCAGGTGAGCAGAATCCATGCATACCGAAACACTTTCCTTTGATGTACAACTACCTTGTATTATTTTTTAAAATCTCGCTTATGTGAAAATAAACATTTTCAGTCCAAAACAAGTGTGCCCACATACTGCTTGAAAATCAGACACTTTTGGGGCAATACGTACTACACTACCGGTATACTACCAAAAATTTACGGTCAGATCTTACATTGATCTCGTTCTTCCCTGCTTATATTACACGGGGTAATCCCCCGAATTGGACAGAACAAAAAGCACTTGTCTTATGTAATCAAGATTATTATCGCCGTCAAGCGTCATCAGAGTTAGATGGAATCTTCAGTTTCAAAAGGTAACATTCTAAGCTTAAAATTGATACCAAACAACAATTCATGAAATTTGGATAGTGATTTTTTTTGGGGGGGGGCAAAAAGTAGAGCAAAACAGAGTTCAACAAAAATGTAACCATTTAGCAAGTTTTACTGATGACAGCATAACCATTTTGCGTGTGTGTTTTTTTTTTGCTTGGCACATGGTTTCCAAGTTGGACACCTGTGAACGCATGCGCACCAATACCAGTCTTATGCGGCCAGCAACACACAGTTACAAAAGACAAAATGTCTCTGTCCGTAGGTTGGCAAAGCTCCCCCCCCTTACGTCCTGTTTGTTGTGGCTACTTGCGATCAGGTCCTTGGGAGTGGTTCGCTGATGCGGGTTGGGTCAGATATAGAGTATGTCGTCAGACGGCCTCGAGCCAACACTGTGATATTCACCGAGAACTGTTTCCCAGTAGAGGCCAATTGGCCCGGAATATTGAAAGGTGAAGACGGTAATACAATATTAATCATATTCATAGCTCCCGGCGGTAGGTATGTAGAATTTCATTCCTTATTAATAAACTTCCAGGAAGGTATACAGCTGGACCGAAAACCTTAAACAAAAACCTGCTCAAAATGGACTTTTTCATCACCAACGTGAAGGTGTACTTCGAACAAGCCGAAAGTACTGCCACTGGGGCATTTCGAGGCTTTCACCCTGCCAAAATCATTTAAAGAATGGGAGAGCTGAGACTACGATTAAAATGACGTGACAGTCTTTTCAGCAGACGAGATGCGTAGACGTCTAGGTACAACATCCTTCCATGGCGACTGGACAATCATTTTAACCAAATCCAATGTGAGCTCTCATTACAAGTATGTTGTTCCAAAATGCATTTGTAGTTTTCCCTTTCACTAAAATTACCTTCCATTACATTTTTACCAGCGGCATGATCAGCCATGGCCAGCACGCATGACCATACCCAATGGTTCTTGACCCAACTTGCCCACAAGTTTTGCGCAGCAAATATGACAGGCTCCTGACCCAAAGGAACGACTCGACTTTCGATTTTTATGAGAACTTTCTGTCTGATTTTGTTAACACCAGTAACCTTCGTATTAACAGTAAACTTCTTATAGAAAGTTCCCTCCAGGCATTTTTTCTTTTACTGAACGTCCTGAATGTTTATCACCTGAAATGCTGTTTGCCACCTTGATTCGATTGAACCATCAAGAATCAAGAATTGATGGCATCGAGGCCGCTCACTCGACGCTGATCGTGTTAAATGTACGGAGGGGCATTATCCCACTGCGTTGATTACTCCACCCCATCACCGAGATCGCTCCTGGCTTGACGATGTCTTCCTATTCTCCTCAAACCACTTGCATGGGCGTCGAGACTTGTCGTGTGCGTGCATTTGAAACAAACAAAAAACCCAAAAAATCCACGAAGCACTCTGGGAATCAGCAGCGAAGCCTTTGAGAGATTGCGCGAAAACAAGCGGAAGTGATAATCACATTTGGCCGTTGCTTAATTATTAGAATGGACTCCCTTTTTTTTGCTCTGGAGAGAGACCACTTATGAAATGCCAAATCAAGGGACAAGGTCTATTTTAGTTATGCTGTTTTGATGAAGCATTGCACTTAGCGGGCATTGTTATCATCTCTCGGGCTCTTAGTTTATTACCGTTTCCTTTATTGACAGGCTGCTTGCGAAACATGACCAGGGGCCTGCTTTTTTTAAAAGCCTGTGCTTATTTTTAAAGGGGAGACACTCTTTGCCAAGGAGAACTATAAATCTCTAAAATGACAACTGCTGAGCTGGATTTTAACGAGCGCCCTAACATTCCAACTTATGACACCGTTGGAGCCTTTTAAGCTCTCGAGAATTTACGACCATCTAGACTTTTTTTCTTATATTATCCGTATCAGATATTAGGATACGCAAAGTGAAAATGACAAGGCTACGTGGTAGATTGCAGTTATTACTATTCTTCGAAGTTGTGGAAGTCTGACACATGCCTATGGTTTACCAACAGAGTTCTTAGGTTCAGCAGCAGAGTAACTTAAAGACTTACAACGCCCCAAAAGCCAGCTCACGTGGGCTTTGAACCTAGTTCGTAGTTCGTAGTGATTTGCAAGTATCTTCAAATGACAAAGTTTTCGAGAGTCCATTCCTCCCCTGCATATATATCACCTGCCCAAAAGCTAATTTGAAAATTATCCTGTTTACTTACATTTTAAATCTTAAAGTGTGCTAGATCAGATATTTTCCAGGCAGCAACGAACAACGAAACTTTTTTATTCGCGCACACCAATACCAATTACGCTACTAAAGTTTATGTAAGCCTGTTTACAAAATCCTGCCAAATTGCATTATGCATGAATACAAACTAAATCGGGAGTGGGGAGGGTTTTTCAATGAAGCCTCTTTCCAGTGACCTCTGAAACTCTCACTGGTTCCAAAATCATCAACTGTCCAATCACATTACTCCACGAAGTACCGGGGCCGACCTATGAAGGACCAATCACAATCTCGTCTCTACCTCGCCTAAATGGAATACGAAGCAGAAAAGGCTGACCTTTGACCCCAGTGGTATCATGTTTGGCTTGGTAACTCGGTTTGGTTGGCTGGGTTGGAATCTGTTGCTTTTGCACTCTAGAGGGGAGAAAAGTTGTAATCAATAAAATTCTATTGCTCACTAAAACAAGTGCTTAAAGTAAATAAAGTAATTCTCAACAACTGAACCCTAACAACTCTCCATGGTTTTGATGTTTCCTGTGTTTTTCTGTGTTCTGTTTCTTTTTAGTTGTCTCTGTGTTAAAATTTTCCCACTTTCTTGTGTGATGAGTTTCTACAATTATCTTTCTTTCACCATTTTGTTGTGAAAAGGGGTGCAAAGGCGTAGAGGGCCATTTCCGAAATAAGACAACTTCAAAATGTATGTCAATGTAAAATGGCCATGAAATCCATAGCAACGATATAAATTCATCAAATGGAAAATGTGCATATTAAGCACAAAACAAGGATACGAAAGGCTTCCTGACTGACAAGACAGGAAGGCCACAGCCACAGGCAGGAAGGGCATTAAAGCTGGGAAAACAGTGGAGTTATGCATTATTCCAGCTGATTAAATGGACTTTCTGAGGGCTAATTAATGCTGCTGGTATGCCTCCGCACGCTGCTCACGGAGATGACGGTGGGGACCGTCCCCAAGGGGCCCAGCAATAAACGTCACATCTCCCCCCGGGGACCATCTAATGTCCCCTTGCCTGGGGTTTTTCTGCTGGTTGATCATCTTTTCCCCGACTCCCTTAGGAGCAGGTTTTTTTTCACAGATGCAGCAATTAATTCAATGGCCTCAGAGTACAGGGCAGAAAAAAAGGATTATTAGAAAGATGTAAAAGATAGAGGATTGGGGGGGGGGAGCGGATATCACAATGTTGCCGACAGGATTCTGTGCCTGGATTCTTATCTACCAAGTCGGACTGTCGGGAATATCCTTACAGTACGTAATGACACTAATGTCATGCAAGAGCTGTTTTCCAGGCAGCCGGGGTGCATAAATCATAGCAAAGGTCTGTTGTCTTAGACCTTGCCGGCAGCGGGGGATCTGTGCTATTAGGACCGGCGGGCGATAAATTTGCAAACGTTATTTAATTTCAAACGTTTCTGCTGAGCGGCTCAGGATGCAGAGTCCCCACCACAAAGCAACTTAGGAGAGGCCACCTCCTGGTATCCATGGCAAGATCAGTGCGACTAATGACACTCTAACGATGGCTGGTGGGGACTAGATGGAACATTTGGGACCAAGCCCCAGGGCAAGACTGCATCATTGGTTATCAACAGCCCTTTATCGTATCTAAGTGCAGAGGGAGCCACTAATTGTGCAAAATGACCAAGACCGTGTACGCAGCGAGAAATGTAACCGATAGTAAAATGTGAGAGATGACAGGATGTCACAAAACAGTTCAACTTCGGTTATCAAAGTCAGAATGAGTAACTGACCAGTGGTCGAAAATTCTGATGGTCGTTAGGCAAGGTTGCAGGCAACACATCACGACCAACTGACTACAGTACCAGGGAATAATTCTGCCTCATTTTGAGAGGTTTCTATACTTTTGAATGCATTTGGTGAATATGAAATCCCAGGTCACATGTACAACTGTACTGTCAATACAAAATTTTGGAGGTTCCAGTGAAATTGAGGTTAGCATCAATGGCAATCAGCACTCGATACACTAACCCACTACGTCTAAAGATTGCTTCTTTTGACTAGATGAGCAGATGCAGATGAACAGTGCAAACGTGGATTCAGCAACTGTCTCACAGTTTTTAATGTCAAAACATCTTTTGCAAATCAATCCTGTACTGTTGAATCCTCTACGATTCAGACCCCCAATTTTTCATTCTCAAGTCAAACCACTCTAATGAACTCAAGGCCGATCGAATGAACGGTGAAAAGCCTGGCGATCTGATATGCGATTTGACTTGATAGACTTGTCCTTAACCATTAAGTGACTGGTGATGAGCTTGATTGTGACCGCGTACTAATTACCTTTCTTTGGCTGGCAATTATAGAATGCGTCATTGGAAGCCAACAGGTCAGCTAAATCCACAACTCATGTTGCTGCCAGGCAATGATGACCTCACATTTCGGAGGCAGCCTATAACTCTGAACAGTCCAATCTGGCTCCTGTTAACCAGCTTTATTGACAAATGCATGATAGTTTGTATTTCACATTTTCATTTGTGCACAAGCCTATTTTAACCTGAAGCAGTTTAACTGTGTTTGACTTATTAAATTATTGAAATCACTTCTTCTTTTTTCAATTAACTACTTCTCTGCAAAGATATATTCAATGCTATGCTTTTGGGGTGTTGTTGGTCATTTCAATGACTGTGATTAAAGGGGAAAACAGAGAAATGGAGTGTCAGTCCTCTGAACCGTATTTCAATACCCCTTTCTTTTTTTCTCCTACAAATACCACCTGCACAGATTTCACCATATCCCTCCTACTCTGGCTAAAAGACAATGTTTCTATGTTTTCGATTTTATTTTTTTCAAGGCACTGATGTACAGCACTGCAGACCCGACGGCCATCATGCAACATTAGTAAACATGACCCTGTCTTGCCAATTGCTGCATCAATGTCATTGGTGGTTTCTCCAGACCATGTAATGCAATTGGCCATGAAAACACTGCGGCAGGTATTCCTCTGGTTCTATGCAAGGGCCTTTGACTGCCGACCAAAAATTTGGCTGACTTTCCTCTGTCACTTTACTCTGCTATCTATTTAAAACAAAAATGCTTTGCAGATGGAAATATTTATTTTTAGTTCTGTTGGCATTTTACAATCTCCAAGATCTTTGTTCTGCACTCAAAGACACTCTATTAAAGTGCTGAATCCAACATTTTAAAGGTTAAACCTTGCACTTTAAATATCAGCTTGAAGAGTTAAAGAATTAATTCAACAATTTAAATGTTAATTCAACATTTTCCCCTTGATATTTAAATGTCGAATTAACAGTTTAATGCTAATTTTAAAATTAAAATGTTAGACTTAACATTTAAAACATAGGATTCAACACTGTTAAAGGGAGGTCACTGACCGCACTGTTGTATGGGTGTGATGCAACACTTCAGCTTTCAGCCTGAAGGCATAAGTACAACCCAAAATCATTACAAAACAAAAGACTGCCTTCATGTACATGTGTATCTTTTTGCAGAACAAATTCAAAAATTCCAGATTATTGCGGATGATGCCAATTATAAGCCTTGACTTTAAAGACACGTACCTTTAACACTGGCCTTGGAATATTCATGAGGTCGCACAGCTGGTTGCGGATTGGACGGACGGTTAGCACACTTTCGTCCCTGCAAATGAAGACGGCATGAGATATTGGCTTACAGGAGTACAAAGGGCAAAAAGGTCGGACAAACCCTCTTTTTCTCATCCCCTTTAATCCTTCCCTGTTTCACTTGTAAAATAACCCCGAAACAGATGCCTTGGATTTGACATTTTGGGCACTTAGGCTGCATTTGTTTCACACAGGTCTGGATTATGATCAGTGATCCTTCGTTGGTTTACGGACACCAAAGCCCACAAAGCATTAGGATCACTGCCAATCCCACTCTAGCAATAAATAAACCGGTACTTATTTTTAACAAGATGTATGAAACGCAGGACAAATTTTAAAGCTAAAACTGTGTTGAAACGTGTTAAAATGCCAAGCCGTACAACACAAATCCTGGTATACTAATGTAGTACATTTTCAGGAATCATATGGAAGTGTTTGAACAGATGTAAATCTACTGTTACATCCATCATATACATGTAGATGTACGTGCACACATGCTACAGGTACTGTGTCTATGTACTGTAAACAGTACGCAGCGATGTATCAAACTCAAGGCAGCAGGGGAAAGCACACTGTGCAGATGGAACCCCTACTCAAGTCCTTCAGCTCTAACCCTTAAATCAGCCCTAACCCTTAGGATCACTGATCGAGATCCAGATCTGTGTCAAAAAGAACCAGGCCCCCAAATGCATCTGACTGTAGGATTTAATGTCCTCTCAAAAAAATTTCCAGTGGTATATGCGCCCCGAATCCCCCTGGTCTGGAGATCCTGTCAAGGGTCCCAAGCCATTGTATTTCAAACCCCTATTCTGATAATCCTAGGTATGTCCCTGAGTACCATATGGTTCCAACAATATTAAGGCACCACTACAATGTCACTTCCGAGTAATAATGCTATAGAAAGCAACTGCAATGTTTGTTTGTTTGTTTGTTTGTTTGTTTGTTGGGTTGTTGGGGGTGTTTGTTTGTTTGTTTGTTTGTTTGTTTAGTTTGACATTAAATATCATTTCAAATGTATCTGCCCACCATTAGGTCTTAATGTAAGCAGTATCTCAAGGTAGACAATAAATAGAACCATTCCTGATCTCCATGATTTCACGAAGAAGCATTCCTACAGCCCTAAGTCAGCTACGATATACACATACATTCAATAAAAAGGAAACAAAAAGCATTATGTTCTGTCCTTGGGAGTCAATCCTTTGTTGGAAATGCTCCTCTAATTTACACATACGTGCTTTGCGTCTATCGGAGTGTGTCGCATCAAGGGAACAAAAGAAACTGCAATGCCTCATCCTCAGGGATTTAGTAAAAAAAAAGGTTGACTATGAGCACGTACAGAAGTGTTCTTCCCTCCCGAACACTGGAGCTCTCTTGAGAAATCCTTCAGTGAAATTTACTCTTCAAGCACACACAGTCCATACGAGCCTATGTCTGTGTGCTCACACACTTGTTTGTATGAGAAATCACTGAAGGAAAGCAGCGACGTAAACTGCTCACCATTTGGTCTCACTGAGTATCGTCAGTATCTCTTCTTGACTGTCTTCCGGCACAACGTCATCATACATCAGCAACATCTCGTACAGCTTCTCCGCTGAAGTCTTCCTCACCTGGGAGGACGGATAAAGGGAAAAAAAAGCAGTTTTAGAGGAAGCAAAAAACAAAATCCTACATGTACAGGAACTCCCATAAAAACTAATCAATAAAAAATCTGCTGGCACTGCCCATCCCACTCTAGCAATAAATAAACCGGTACTTGTTTCTAACAAGATGTATGAAACGCAGGACAAATTTTAAAGCTAAAACTGTGTTGAAACATGTTAAAATGCCAAGCTGTACAACACAAATCCTGGTATAGTAATGCAGTACATTTTCAGGAATCATATGAAAGTGTTAGAACAGATGTAAATCTACTGTTACATCCATCATATACATGTAGATGTACGTGTACACATGTTACAGGTACTGTGTCTATGTACTGTAAACAGTACGCAGCGATGTATCAAACTCAAGGCAGCAGGGGAAGGCACACTGTGCAGAGGGAACCCCTACTCAAGTCCTTCAGCCCTAACCCTTATATCTGTATCCTCCCTCAATGTATCACCCACATTGTCCCAAAATCTGGACAAGACATACAATGTATTTCATTGTATGCTGTACTGTTGGAAACTTGCATGTATGATTAGCCCACACAAAAACGCACACACATGTGATTGCCTCGGAAGTAATCTCTCAAAAGAAGAAGCATTGGCTCTGAGAAGAGTCAGTGGTAAGACAAGGTATCAATGTTTCCGACAGTGTGCTCTGTTTGTCTTCAGGGAACAGAGTGCGGCCTTGTTCAAATTGTCAAAATCAATTCTCACCACCAGTTTTTTACCAACATTTCTCCATACATTTAGAGATTGCTTCCATAGTATACCCACAAACATACATGTACCTCTCTGAGTACTAGTGCTATGCAAAGCTACAAATAACATTCCTGATCAACCCACTCTGGACCTTGTTCAGATAATAAGGCCATGGAGTGCCCCTCTCTCCTCTTGAACCCTTAACCCTCCACTACTGAGATAATCCTTTGGGGAGCTTTTCAATGCAGCCAAATTTAAATGTCCACAAAGACTTATTTGCAGAGTCATCGGTCCAAGATACTAGTAATATCTGTCTATTTATTTGGTAATTTAAGATTTTTTTTATGGAGGCATAGTTTAAACCAAGTATTGGTTCACTTGGACACCAATGAAAGGCAATGAAACATCTGTGGCTGGAACCTGTGCCAAACCAACTGGCTCCTTCTGCCACTGACCATGCTTTCACACCTGCTTGCTGATAAAAGTAGAGACCCTCTGAAAGGATAACAAACAATAACACCATTGATTTTCAATAGGATTAATAACCATGTCATTGAGGTGGATTTGTGAGTTTATACTTGGTATGCATGTACCAGTGTGTCCTAGCGTAGCTAGGATAGTACCGGTGGAGAAGCATGCTGCTGTTGGGAACACTGGGGAAGGCACATATATTTGGAGACGGAGAATGCTCTCTATCAATTTATACCTGTGATCTTCCATCAGCTGTTGACTGACAAATGTATATTGAAGTGCCTTGTGCACGTATACTGTAATAGTGTAAATAATAATAAATAATAATAATTTACCAAAAGTGGGTCACTTGGGAGACATTCCCATAGGAACGTGCACAATTTTTCAAACTTTACCGTCCCATAATTCAATATTCCCTAATCCGATCTTAACCAAACTTTGCATGTTTTCCTTTCAGACCCTTATCTATCGTCTCTCAAAATGTGGACCATATAAATTATCCTCCTTTTGGTAGTTGGAGCATTAGGGAGACATTGAAATGTCTCCCTAATGACCGATGTCGCCCTAATGTTGAAAAATGTACCACAAAATGTCTCCCAAGCGACCTATTTGGAAATATAGTAGTATATACGTTATAATTACAGCTAATTGGTCATTAGGGAGACATTCGTATAAGAACGTGCACAAAATTTTTCCAACTTTACTGTCCCATAATTCAATACTCCCTAATCTGATCTAAACCTTTGTATGTTTTCATTTTAGGCCCTAAACTATCATCTCTCAAATATGGACAATAAAATTCGGCCTCCTTCTGTCAGTTTGAAAATAGGGAGACACTGAAATGTCTCCCTAAAAGCCAATGTCTCCCTAATGCTGAAAAATTTACCACAAAATGTCCACGTTCTTATGGGAATGTCTCCCTAATGACCCATTAGCGGTAATAATAACCTTGACTAACCTCATGCTACTCAATGCATAATGCTCATCCAATTAATTTAAAAAAAATCATCCGATAGCCTTGCCAATCCTACAAATTATGAAAGAGGAAACATGATCCTGAGGACTTGTGAGAGAAAGACCTTGGGGAATTTTGATTACAGGCACTCATATGCTTTCATTCACTGAAGACGAAATGAGCCAGCACTCCAGTGTCTTCCTTCGGCAGCCCAAACACAGGACATGGCTTGCCTCCCTCTCTTCCTCTTGCCATGTTTTAAAATGGACTTCCACAGAACTACCTGGTGAGCCCTGAACTCAGAGTGGCACTGCCCAACCAGCTGAATCCAGTGTGCCACTATTTTGTCACCCCTTGGGAGGTCTCTGTAAAAGACAAGGGTGGTCACCTTCTCTTGCCAGGAGTTGCCAAGAGTTGACTGCAGTATGTGGGCATTACAACCAATATCTCAAGAGAAGGGGTGAATGACCATGCTTCACACCCGTAATTAAGGACTAATTCAACAATGGTAAGACAGAGAAGATACTGATCTCCCAAGACATCTCAGAATTCCAGATCATCTTCATGTCTTTCAGGGCCTTCTGGGCTTTGGCTTTCCATACTTTTGATGTTGCCCTTGGTCAAGTTGACCCACACCCTAAGGTACTTAAAGTTACTGACTTCCTTCAAGATCCTCCCTTATTCGTCTTGAGTGGTTTGTCATCTGGTGTGTTGATGTGGTTACAACAAGCCCCCTGGATTACAATCAGATGCAATTGAATACCTAATTAAAAGAAGGGCCAAATTTCAACGAAGCTTTTTTGGCGGGTTCAAAAGAAAAAAACTGAATATTTTTTGCAGGAGTTGCAAATGAAATCATTAACTCTCCTAGGCCCAAACTGTGGAGTTGGGCCTTTCTTTTAATGAGGTATTCAACGGTAAATATGCTTCAGATATGCAATATGTGTACAATGTATTAGTTATGCATACTCCATGCGAAATACACATGAATGCACTGTCAAGTTTTGCTATCTGCTCCATGCAGGAACAAGAGCTGGCATGTTCTGATAACGTAGTAGCGACGCCCCTTTGGTAGGCACTCTCTCTGTGTATGCACGGCTAGGTTTAATTTTCACTGGAATGTATGGTCTTGGCAAGTGCACAGAGTGCGAGTACAAGACCAGTTAAGAAACCTCCCACCAGCCTGTCTCTCCTTTGGTGGTGATGAGGAGATACTTCAAGTCAGAGTGAATCCTACCTAGGAGTAGGTATTGCGTTTCCTGCTGTCCCTTCCAATTATCACTTGTCCACAAAGCACAGAGCAGGCACACACACCTGTACTTCTGAGGACAGCAGACTGACCAGTGAGGACAGGGAAACATCCTGTATTGCCTGACGTGTTCTGTCCTCGATGGTAAATTAAATCAGAAACATCCACGTACACAGGGTTTCATCCCAGGCGAGACTGTTGCTAGGCAAGACTCTCCTTTATGGGCAAAGCCCATCTTTCAGATCTTTCAAATGATTGATGACTTCATTCAACAAAGATCTTATTATACCACCTTCCCTTTTTTTTGTTCTATTTTGCAGATAATGTCTGGTTGTGCTTCAAATGCATACTGAACTGGAACTTTCCATATATTTAAAATATCAGATCCAAGTGAAAAAATAAGCAATGAACCTTTTACAGAGTTGCATGTACAATGAGGTCAAGGAGAGGCTGCACTGGCAAGCTTTGGCCTCTTTCAAGAAGTTCTCTAACCTGAACATTGGAATGGTGAACAATAGCCGTGCTTTTATTTCAATTTAGTCAATTCTGTGCCCAGTTGGCATAAGTCTGAATGAACTCATACACCTACTCCAACCCCTATCCACTGAGAAAAAAATACATTTTAAATACAAGCCAAAACAGATCATTTCTAAACGTTTATAACCCAAAAACTATTTATATTTTTTATCAATCCTATAGAGAGCTCAAAAGTGAGGTTTTATGAAAGCAGAGAAAACCTCATGGGAGACAGTATATCAACTTTTATTAGGGCCTAATGTCCTCTGAATTTATGTTGCAACAGAGAAAAAAGTACAACAGGACCCACACTTGAGCCCATCAAGGGGCTATTGTGATATCATTACCTATAAATTACAGCTGTAAAGCTGTAAACAGAGACCTGTTCCATTCCCTTTTGTCCTAAAATACTTCTTTACAATCTGGCATCCTCGCAATACTTCAGCTAACCAAAAAGGGTATTTCTTGTTACACTGTGCAATGAGAAATATGTACTGAGCAGTATATTCCTAAAGCACAAAGACACAGAGCATTTCATGTTTTTCTGGTCTATGTTAAGGAAGGAGTATTTCTTTCCTCCAGGAACTATTCAAATTATTCAAGAAAATTCCAAATGCATGTAGATTTGCATTCACATGGTACCACATCGAAGTTGGTAATTAATTGCATTTTGCACATATGTTACCGTTGCCTGCATTTGGCATATATTATTATAAACAAAATGCTGAAAGTGACTACATTTAGACAGTATTTGTACTACATTTGAACTGCTGATTGAGGGATCCATGTAAGTCTTCAAACAAATTTCTGCTATCTAGGCCCAGAGGCACAATTGGGACTGAAGTTTTTATTGTTAGATATATGGTAGCATGGAAGGCCTACATGTACATTGGAGACGTTATTGAAGTTTTGTCCACAAACAAAACAAAGAGAAATTGCTCAGCCGTTGAAAATTAAAACTCAAGCAAAATGTGAAAATCACTGTCTCTTAAGAACTTTGTCCACATCAAATTTTAAAATAGATTGTTCCCGAAAGCATGAACAGCAGGCAACCCAATCCAGTCTTTATGT